TTGACAATAAATCGTAAACTTCCAACAATTTTTGTGAAAAAAAAGAGACACCAAACCATTAGAGTGAAGATAATTTTATATATCTTGGAGTCTATCAACCATGAAAAAGAGAGAGAATTCTTTTATGAAAAACTTCAATAGGGATATGAATTCAATTAATAAAAAATGGGTTACAAAATATCGCTGCTCCTCATAATTCATGAAATGTCAAAATAATGTCAAAGATAAAGTTACCATCAGTAGATATATAAATGGTGATTTGTAAAATTGGAGGTGAATGTGGTGCACATCTCATCAGACCGTAGCTCCTAAAAAATCAATAACTCATTAAATGATTATAGCACTGAACAAGTGTCAGCATTCCTGAATAGGATCTAGCACGTAGCTCACATTGAGAAGCACCTAGGGGGCCAATCCCACTGCCCTAGACCACCAGAGGCTGTGCTGTCATCACTATCCACTCCACCTACGGCTTTGTAGCGTGCAAATGAAGGTCAATCACACGCTATAAAAATCTAGTTCAAGTAAGTTTGATGGAGATGGATTTGTTACCAATAGATGAATGTTATGCTTGTGTTGTCATTTCATTTTTAAGTTTATCTAGTCTTTAAAATTATTTTTTCTAGGCAAATGAGCACAAGCTCAACACCTCAGCCATTTTGAGTTGCTTTGAGATCGCTGCATTGCATAAAAAGGGAGGCGATTCAAATTTCTTGCGATTTGGAAGCTCCGAATTTCCTTTGATAGAGAAGGAAAATCAGACCGTTGTTGGGAGGTGAAAATTGGAAGCAAGAGGCGGAATTGAAAGGTGGAGGCGGAAAATCGAAAAGCCGGAAAACTTCCGATTTTATTCCTCTGCGAGATCGTGATCAACATCTAATTCTATTCCTTAAGGCGACTGCGGGAATTTCTTTTGGAGGCGGCTGCAGAAGAGGAAATTCTCGGTGGACGAAAGATTTTCTAGGACGCGGAAAAGGCAAGGAACACAACAAAGATCTTAGGAATTTGCAGAAGAGTTCGTTGCAGGATTAATTTTCAAATGACAATTTTTGGTGCAAAATTCGAGGTGAAGTTCGATAGAACTGATAACTTCGGATTGTGACAAACAATGGTTAAAGATTTGTTGGCACAACAGGGGATCCTGAAGGCTTTGCGGGCAATGAAACCAGATGTCATGAAGGATGAACATTAAGAAGAATTGCAACAACGAGCTGCAGCAACCATACGTTTATTTCTGGCAGCAGAAGTTATGTATCACGTGATGAATCTAAAATCTCAGGGAGAGGTATGAAAGAAATTGAAAACTCAGTTTATGTTGAAATCTCTGACGAATAAATTGTATCTGAAGCAAAAACTGTATGGGCTGAAGATGCAAAAAGGTTCTGATATAGCGCAACATGTTAGACTTTAATCAAATAATCACGAATTTATCACGACTTGATGTGAGTATTGAGGATGAAGACCGAACAATGATTTTGTTATGTTCACTGCCTTCTTCCTATGAACAACTGGTGACTACTCTTACTTATGAGAAAGAAAGTATCAAAGTTGATGATATTACTGCAGCATTGTTGGCCCACAACCAGCAAAAATAGAATTTAAGGTAAAGCTCTCATGACGACAGTTTATATGTGAAGGGTAATCAGGACAGTGGAAGGAAGAAAGAGGAGGGTTCTAGAAGGTGAAATTCCAGATCCAGTCCAAAAACAAAAACAAAAAAAACAATTCATTGTTATAAGTGTAAGGAGCCAGGTCATATGAAGAGAGATTGTCCAAAGCTCAAGAAGCAGACTGAAGAAAAAGGTGATTGATCATCGAAGTTTGTAAATATGGTGCAGAGTGACAATTCAAATTGCAGTGATAGCAATATGCTTTCAGTTTCATCAACTCAGTTCAGGGATGCATGGATTCTTGATTCATGATGCTCTTATCACATAACACCTAACAGGGAGTGGTTTACTTTAAACATGTAAACTAATTCTAGCTCAGTCTATTTAGGTGATGATAGATGTTGCAATATTGTTGGTATTGGAGAAGTAAGAATTAAGATGTATGATGACACAGTTAGAACATTATGTGATGTCAGACATATTTCAGATCTGAAGAAGAATTTGATTTTCATAGGCACTTTATATAGAAATTATTTTATTTCTAAGACAAATAAGGATAGAAAAACCATCAAAATTGTTAAGGGAGCACTGACTGTGAGGAAAGGAAAGTTAACTGCAGGTAATATCTATAAACTGTTGGCGAGAACAGTTGTAGGTGGAGTTCACTCTGTGGAGTCAAATGATGAGATGATGATAGTACAAAGCTAGTACAAAGCTATGACATATGCGTCTTGGTCATCTCAGTGAACGTGAGATGACATAATTGCATAGAAGAAACCTGTTGTAAGGTGTTAAAAGCTACAAGTTCGATCTTTGTAAGTTCTGTGTTATTTGAAAACAAACGAGTCAATTTTATGACTGAAAAACACAAAACTGAAGGGATTCTTGATTATGTGCATTCTGATGTATGAGACCCTATCAGAGAATTGTCATTAGGGGATCTCAGTATTTCGTTACATTTATTGATAATTTCTCCAGAAAAGTTCGAGTGTATTTCTTGAAACAGAAATCTGAAGTATTCTCTAAATTCACGTTGTGGAAAGCTGAGGTGAAGAACCAAACTGATAGAAAGATCAAATATTTGAGATCTGATAATGACACGGAGTACACAAATTCGCAGTTTCAGAAATTTTGGGAGGAGCATGAGATTCAGAGACATTTTTCAGTGTGCAAGACACCACAACAGAATGTTTTGACAAAAAGGATGAACAAGTCCTTAACTGTAAGGGCAAGATCCTTGAAACTGAATGCAGGACTTCCTAAGAATTTTTGGGCAGAGGCTGTGAATATGATGAATATGACACGCATCTCATCAATAGATCACCTTGGGCATCGTTAGGTGGCAAGGTTGCAGAAGAGGTATGAACAGGTAATCCAACCAATTTCGATCATTTATAAATTTTTTGTTGTCCTGCTTATTTGCATGCACATGAAGATGAAAGATCAAAACTTGATGCAAAATCCAATGTGTGCATCTTTCTGGGCTACAAGAAAGGTGTGAAAGAATAATTTTTGGGATCTGATAACAAAGAAGATGGTGATCAACAAAGATACAATTTTTGATGAGCAGTTCATGTTATAGCAGAATCAAGATAAGGTGTAAGGAAATAATTCCAGTTCAGATACAGTGCAGATAGATTTAGAATAACATATAGAAACAATTGAGAGAGTTGAAGGGTTCAAATCCAACACTTGGTGATTCCACTCTAGATGATCTGCAGAATTATAATCTAGCCAGAGACAGACAGAGACGCGCCAATGTAAGACCTCCTAGCAAATTGGGTTATGAAGATTTGGTTTCTCATCAGCAGCTCATCAGCAGCGATGATCCTTCAGTTGTGGGGTACGTTGATTCAGAATATGCAGGTGATTTGGAAGACTGGGTATGTGTACTCTTGATGGAGGACCTATATGTTGAAAATCAAACAATTCAGTCAATAGTTTCATTATCTACAACTGAAGCTGAGTACATGGCAGTAGCTGAAGCTGCGAAAGAAGCCTTATAGCTTGCTAGGCTAGTAAAGGAACTGAGCGTTGAGCAAGGTGAAGTTCAGTTACATTGTGACAGTCAGAGTGCTATTTATCTGGCAAAGAACCAGGTGTACCATGAGAAAAAAACACATTGATGTCAGTTATCACAAGACCAGAGAATTGATTGTTTCTGGTGAGATACTGTTGCAGAAGGTTCATATTGATGAAAATGAAGCTGATATGTTGACCAAGCCAGTTACTATCAATAAGTTATTGCATTGCTTGGATTTGTTGAATGTTTGCAGTTGCTAGAGAAGCATGGTGGCCCAACCCACTTCAGTGTGTAAGAAACTCCATGATGTATTTCTCCTAAGGGGATGGATATTCGCAAAGATGAGATTTGTTATGATATGACTCATATATCATGTAAGGGACAAATGCTGAAACGAAGTGTAGCGGAGCGGAAGAATCTGTACAAATCGGGGGATTTTCCTTATGTGGGTTGGGAGTGGTACAGGGGTAATTTGGTAATTACATATTACACCACAGGGTTTTTTAGGATTATAAATAGACATGTATGTAACCCTGGGTCTCATTTTATAACCTTTTTCTGAATATTGAAGAAAACCACCGCTCTGCTCCCGAGAACATAAGCATCTTTGTCAAACCTCGTTAAATCTCTGTGTTCTTCTAGATTTGTGTCGATTCCTATTTTTCTTCGCCCTAATTTCTCAACATATTCAGTTTTAGATCTACTCAAGCGAAGTCCTTTAGACTCCAATATAGACCTCCATAATTCAAGCTTTTCCTGAATTCTTTCTCTATTCTTATCCACAAGAAGAATATCATCAGCAAAAAGCATACAACAATGTACATCATCCTGCAAATGTCAAGTAAGAGCGTCTTAAAGTTGATCCTTGCTTTAATCCAACTGAAATAGGAAAATACATGATCAATACTCCTTCTATTCGAACACAAGTAACAACTCTAGAATACATATCTTTAATGAATTGAATATAAGTTTAATCAACACCTTTCTTTTCTAGAGCTCTCCAAAGAACTTTGCTTGGACCTATATCGTAAGATTTTTCTAATTCCATTAAAATCATATGTAGATTGTCCTTACTCTCTCTGTACTTCTCAATCAAACCTCTAGTAGACTTGCCCGACATAAATCCAAACTGATTATGAGAAATCTTTATATCATTTCTTAACCTATGTTCAATTATCCTCTCCCATAATTTTAATGTATGACCCATTAACTTAATTCCTCTATAATTTGCACTCTGTGGTGCATCACCTTTATTTTTCATGTTTTCTTCATTTAGTCATAATGCACAAATTTTAACAAAGATGAGGGGGAAAAGGTGAATCCAAAATCAGAATCTAGTTCGCTCAATGAAAGTATAGTTTTCATACCTTGATAGCACTGCCCGTGTTTCTGACACCAGTTGCTCAAGCTTGTTGGCATCCATTAGGATAGAAGTGTCCTCAGAACTACTGAAGGAAAGAGCCATGGTCCGACTGTATTGTACAACATTTTCAGGGACCAGATAACTTATCCAGTAACTGGGTGATTCAATACTCATGAACAATTGTAGCATTTGCATAATCATTTCATGCAGTTTCTCCATACTGAAGGGATCTTTCAGTTGTTTACTGCACATGTTGAATATCACAAATTCAATAATAATAATAAGTAGAAAGATTTGCATGCATACCAATCAATTCCTATGTATTTAGATGTCTAACATCTAAGTTTAACTTTTAGATAAATGCCACCCTACCTAAGAATGAAAAGGTGTCTTTCACTATTTAAAAGTTAAAATGATGGTATTTTTTATGTGATATGAAAGATTTGGGCGGTATTATTGTAGGAAGTAAAGTTTGTGTGTTACATATGTAAATACAAAAGAATTGGGTGTTATGTATGTACATGCTCATGATAATAATTTATTAATATTCATTTGTTGTCACGACGTGCTTTGGTCAAATGGTAGGAAAAGAGATCTCCAAAAATTGTATAGAAACTAACATGCACAAAGTTCATAAAAATGTATAATGGAACACTTCAGCCTCAAGAGGCCAAAAAGCATCTATTACACAAACGACAAGTTTGGAAACTCATCCAAACATCTCTTAAAAATCAAAATATTAATTTAAATAAAACCTTTTAGCTAAGAAAAATTAAGTCTGCAAAAATATCTCTGAAGTGTCATATATTTAACCAAATAAAGTGTTATAGCATTGACCAAGTCGACTTATTAATAACAAAAATGTTTTGTAACAAAGTGTGAAGTTGTTAGATCAAATGTAATGAAAAAGAACTTTCTAAATTTTTACAAACTAATATGCATGAAATTTGAAAAAAAATGAAGGATGGAACAAGGTTTCAGTCTCCTGAGGACCCAAGTTACATCAATAAGCAAATCATAGCTTTGGGTATTTAGCCAAAATCTTTAAGATCTAAATATTAAGTTAAAAGTTCTGATTTGAAATTTAATCTCTAGGTTATGATAGCATTTATGAAATATAAGTTAACTAATGACACATTTGGCATGGATTATGCAAATCACTAACTCTTTTAGAACTTCAGAAGCAGCAGTCTGCATGTTCAAAATTAATGTATTGATGCCATAGGTGGAGAGGTAATCAGCGGTTGCAAGAAATTCTTGTTGATCATGCCTGCCAAAAGATTCAACTTCATCCTGAAGAAGAAAGAATAAAGAAAAGAGCTGAGAGCATTTAGGCAAGAGCAAAAAATAATCAAGAAGAGAACCCCTTTTTTTGTCGGGAAGTTACATATGTTGCACACAATTATTATGTATTTACATACCTCAAACCTAAACTTTCATATATGCATGCATAGCACTTTGTTGCTTTAAACATACACATGAAAAGGTGCATTTCATTTTCAAAAAGAGTTAACAGTGCTGTTTTTTAAGTGATATTAAAGATTTGAGTGTTATGTGTGTAAACATGAATGTTAAGGTGTGAGATAAATGTAAATGTATCCCCCACCCTCCTTTTTTGCCATTCTACACTGTTACCTAAACAAAATGTTAGAAGAAAATATATAGGGCCCTATTCAAATAATATTAGAAAGTTCTAATATCAAGCCAGTATGTGGACCAATTTTCTGTGTGTTTGATGTTTATACTAATAAAATTCTTAGAGGAAAAAACTCAATCTGCATCTTAAAAAAACAGTGGCTTCATGATGTTTTAGTCAGTTCAATTACCATTTCAGTTGAGCTCTAGCTCGCCAACCCAAAAAAAAAAAAAATCGTTACCATAACAATGAACCCCTTTAGAGCACAGCGACCAGTGCAGAGTAGAATTTTAAAACAATGCATACGTAACTTAGCGTTAAAGTCTCCAATAATTGAAAGAGGCATTTACATACATACCACACAATTCTTATATATTTACATATTTAACACCTAAACTTTCATATTTACATACGCAACACTCAAATCTTTAACATCACATCAAAAATACAATTCTTACTAACTCTATAAAGTGAAATACACCATATGCACACGTTTATAACACTTTATAACTGTAAATATCAAACTTTATGTGTTTGATATTTAAATACATAAGAATTGTGTGGCATGTATGTAAATTTCCCAAATTGAAAGTTATCAGCACTCAGCAGAGTGAAATTTTCCTTCAAATGCATGGTAATTAAAATCCTTTAGTAAAAAAAGTGTGATTAGATGATGATGAGGGGTCCAATATGTAGAGATGATTGCAATATGTGCTTATATATATGAACACATTGCACACAGAAACATCCGGATAAATACACATAACTATCCTTGCATACGTACGCATTGATTCATTCTTCTATGCTAGTGGGACATAGTGGAGGCACTGACCTTCATATATTGCCTATATAGGTGCAGAGATGAGATTATTTTAGTGTTTGGTAGCATTACATCTATATAAAGCTAAATGAATAAAGCTGTGGTGAAAAGTTAGTAAAACTAAAATTATAATGTTTTTTTGTTAAAATGTATGGTAGAATGCTGTAGAACCCTCCATTTGTTTTCCTTAATCTACTAACCCATTTATAGATCAATAATAAAAAGTAATTGAAATTGTCCACAATTAATATATTGGCTAATTACAGGATTAGGATGAAATTAATAACTACCTAGCTAGCTACAAACAAAATTAAATTTACAAGCCAGCTGTAAACAACTTACTAATTTTTATTTTTCTACTTCTTTATCCTCCAGCTAATAATGAATTACCAGTACAATTATTTAATAAACAGAATTTAACTCAAAAAACCAAAGATCGCTCTAAAATCTAAATAATTTTGCTCAAGTCAAACTTCAATTGAAACTAATAGGCCAAGCCTGACTCAAAAAAAAATTGGATCAAGAGAAACTTGAACCAAATTGAACTAGCACAAGAAAAGTTCAAAATACATAAGCATATAAGTCCGCATTTAAATTTGTATATATGCACCCATATATAGAGGCAAAATGCATGCACGTAGGACTAAAAAATTGACTAGAAGACGGAAACTTAATCAAACAATCAAATTTATATAATTGATCAAAATTGATAACCTAGCCTAGCTTGAATTGAGATTGTATCAAGATAGCTAGATCTAGAATGAACAAAGATCTTTAAGAATATCGTGAGTCCGAGTTCAATCGGTTTGCGGCTGGATCACACATAACTGGTCCTCTTCTAATTTTACTCCTTTGTCCTTTCCACTTTTTCATCTCTTTATTATCTTCTTATCTTAGTCCTCCTAATTATCTTTCTCTTTTGCTATGAGACCACAAGAGGGGGAAGTATATGAGGCCTACTCATCAGATGAGGATGGTGACCAAGACAACAGAAGAACTTGGCCAAATATCATACAAAACAGTTAATTACCAACCATCTAGAACAAATATAGTTGATTATGGCTTTCAAATTAGATTTCTCAAATGGTATCAATAGCATGGTGGATGAAATATAAGTAGGCCAAATAAAATAAAAAACACAACAATTTAGGCAAAAATATGCCTATCACACTGAAGAGTGCCACATTCTAGAACAAAGACTGAGGTTGTAGATTTTAAGAAAATATGTTTAACCGAGTATAGTTCTTACCATATTTGATTGGATTTAATAAAATCAAATTAATATTACATTTTATAATATTAAGTACCACCAAAGAAAGACATTTGAAATTTAAGCCTCGAGGCACGCCTTAAACTAAGGAACTCAAAAACAACCTTGAGGCTTAATCCTCATTGTCACTGATGATGCTTATGTCAAAAAACTACGCCTCGAGATGTGTTTGAGACAATGTCTAAGTTAGTTTATATTAACAAAATTATGATGTATTATATGATGAATTATATACATACCACATAATTCTTATGTATTTACATATCTAACCCTGAAACTTTAATATTTACTGAGAAAAGACCCAAATATTTAGAATTGCATAAGAAAATCAGTACTATTAATTTTTTTCCATGCATATGTTTTTAAATGATAATGACATTAAAGTGTAATATAAATATATATCAAAATTTAGGTGTTAGACATGTAAATATATTAAAACTGTCCGACATTATTTAAATCCCCCATTATATTATTAATATATTATAATATATTATATTATAGTTATATATAAAATATTTAATACAATGAATAAAAAAAGTCAAACAATAAATTAATTATAATTACTTGATTTTATAATTAATTTATTATTTATTTAAAATTATATTCTAATATTAATTAATAGAAAGAGCAGGAAAAAAAATAGAGTTATTAAGGAAGGTTCAGAAAATGCCAATGAGATGAAATCAAACGATAACAAATATATTATATATAATTATTCTTCTGAAGATGATAATAATGAGGATGAAGCCACTATAAATCTTGATCCTGGTAATATATTTAAATTTGAAATAAATGTTTATCTTAAATCTCATTCCAAACATTCATTGTATAATAATATTTAACATTGAGATTTATGGTTTGTGGTTTTATGAAAATAAAATAAATAAACATATTGACATTTTTTATCATATTTATGAGTTCTTTTTAATTTTATAATTTTTTTTTCTATTTTAAGGCTTACGCCTCAATCTGCCTCTAGGTTTACGCTCTGTCTCGCTGAGAAAAATAAGGCTGTTCTCAATTTTGACTTTTTAAATATTGAGTAGCAAAATGTTGCCTATCAAATATGGCAATAAAATAATCTTTCTAAAATAGTTTAAAAAGTAGTTAATTCAATATGTCACGTGGCAAATCCAAAGTGATATTTTTCAAAATATCCAATTATCTAAAGTATGGAATAACAATAAGACACAAATTAAAAAATAAAAGTTCTGCATAGCATGCAATACGAAGGCACTTCTAATCACAACAACGATGGGCCAACTTTAATTTTCTTAGCACGTTTCGAATGTCCAAGTGCGATTGGATCTCTCTTACAAAAGTTAGCTCAAGGGTTTACATGTTTTTTTTTTTGCATTTAATAATACCAATATTATAATATTAAACTAATGAAATGATGAGTTAGAAAATTACTTTTACTTATGATGAAAAAATTATGAAATCTATTGACGTGGAACGCAACTGCAATGCGAAACACCAAATACCGCATATTTGAGGGATCGCATAACACCAGTGATCATAGGTTCGGTTCGGACGAGAGTGAGGGACGTCGATTTCCAAACAACCCTTTTTTTCCTTTTGATTTCTTTCCTATTCATCTATTTTCTAATTAGGTTTTTTAGTAGGGAACAATTAGAAGTCGTAATTTTCCATTTTTCGCAGACTTTTAATTAGATTTACGTTATGTGGAGATATTTTCTCCTTGTTATCTCTATGGGAGTGTTGTATTACATTCATGTTGCAAGTGATGTGCCTATATCTTAGTTAGGAATAAGTGGTGGAAGCTCCTCGTTGCCTTAACATCTCTGATTCAAAGTTTTCTCCACTGATTTCAGCCAGGATAGCCTCCGATCGAGACCTATCGCCCAAACACCATCAACTGTCATACTTAATTCACTCGCTATTCCAAAACCACCTCATCACAAAATCCACTTCCCAAATGTCATATAGAATCCCTAGATCGGTATCATTTGGTATCAGAGCCCAACAAGCCCTAGATCTTTAGGACTTTGTATTCCTTACCCCAAACCAAAATTTCAATTAACCTAAAATAACTCCCCCATCAAAAAAAATTCCCAAATCATTCCTACTGCAATTCCTAGCATCATCCCTAAAAAAAAAATTCAAAATCCAACTTTCCTACCTCCAAAATAATTCCACTTTGACATCTACCCCAAAAACCTAAAACACCTGACCAAGCTTGATTTGCAATCCTACATACACTTAAAAACCTAATTGGGAGAAAAGGGCACCAGGCCTCCTAGGAGAAATCTGCAAAAAGATGTCTGGGAGTTTTCTATAGAGGAGATGCAGTGGGAAATCCTCCAATGGTAACAGAGTTGCCTCCCGCAATAGGAGAAAATCCAGAGAGGCCATCCGTAGGTGATTTGTCAGATCGAGAGGAGGAAGTGAAATTTTTAATCGAGAAGTTCCCAATAATAGAGAACAAATACCATGATTCGGCATAGACTATCAGAGGAGAAATCAGGATATTGGTATAAAGATGGACTTACTTAGGTTTCGACAGTTGCAAAGGATCCAAAGAATTTATTGAGTGACTTCAAACA